AATCTAAATGATGATGAAAGGGATGATTCAGTTTCATTATCTACATTTATGAAGCTAAAACCTCCATCATTTATTGGTTCCACCATGAGAGAGGACCATCGTAGATTCTTGGGATGCTATGGAAAGGATTTGCTGTGCTTTAGGAGCTTCAAGCATAAGGTCCTTAACATTGGCTAGCTTCCGTCTTGAGGATATAGCGCAACAGTGGATTACGTCCTACATGTGGTGTAGGCCTAGTAATGCTAGTCCACTTGGTTGGAAAGAATTTGATAAAGCCTTTATGGATAGATTTATGCCTTGTAGTGTGCGAGCAACTAAGGCCAAGGAGTTTGAGGGCCTAAAACAAACACTCGGGATGACGATATCTAAGTATGATGTGCAGTTTACTCAATTGTCTAAATACGTCCCATATCTTGTATCTACTGAATAATGAGAGTGAATCGATTTGTGGCTGGACTATTTGAATATCTATGTAGAGTTGTTGCTCCGCAGAGGTGTGATTCTTATTCTGATGTAATAGATTGTGCTCGGTTAATAGAAGGTCATAGTATGGAGGCTAGAGCACTTCGTGAAAGTACTAGAAAGACTAAAACTGAAAGGCAGACTAGTCAAAGGAACGTTAGTCGAGAAATGATTTATGAAAGGTCAAGTCAGCTCGGTAGAAAGGATACTACTCAGAATAGAGGACAAGTGTTAATTGAGACTCAAGTGTCAAGGAAAAACCCCCAGTTTAGTAGTCCACCTCATTGTGGAAATTTTCTTAGAGTAAGAATCATCGAGGACGTGATAATGAAATGATTAGCCCTAATAGTCGACAGATAGGCCAAAGGAGCCTTTATTGTGTACGTTGTGGTATTACACATGTGGGGCTGTGTGCTTTATCATATGATGTATGTTTTAATTGTGGTCAAATTGGACATATGTGAAGAGACTGTCCCTATGGTGTGAGATCACAAGGAACTAGTCGTGGGTATGTACTACTAGCATCGAGGGTAGCATTTGCAGTTTCAACTCCACCTAGGAGAGGTTGACCCGATAAAGGTAAAGGAATAGCTTCTACCTCTTGATCACGACCTACTGAGTCAGCACCACAAAATACTTCTAGAGAAGGACAAGCGAAAGTGTTTGCCATGGGTTCGCAAGATGTGCCTGCTTCTAATGATATGGTGACAGGTATTCTTTTACTTTGTGGTTTTGAAACATTGGTATTGTTTGATCCTGGAGCTACCTATTCTTTTGTTTCCTTGAATTTTGTGTCACAATTGAATAGACCTTGTGAAATAATGGTAGACCCAGTAGTAGTGGCCACTCCCTTTGAAGAGATTTGTATACCAAAAGTTGTCTATAAATCTTGTGTAGTTCAAATTAACCACTGGGAAACATTGGTAGATTTAGTGTTATTGATGACATTGGAATTTGATACAATATTAGGAATGGATTGGCTGTATGATTGTTATGCCAATGTCGATTGCCACTACAAATATGTCGAATTTAAGTTTCTTGGAGAAGTTCCCTTTATCATCTATGGACATAGGAGCCCATGTAATAAGGGAATGTTAGCGGGAGTTACAAGAGTGGAATCGGAATAGAATTATTTGGTGTGTGTAGTAGCCAAGGAGGAAGTGTTAATGGAGAAAAAGGTTCCAAATATTAAGATTGTGCCAATAGTTAACTAATTTGAAGATGTGTTTTCGGAGGAATTGCTAGGGTTGCCTTTAGTAAGAGAAGTTAAGTTTTGCATTAATTTGATTCCTGGCACGAAACCAATATCCGAAGTTCCTTACCGAATGGCACCAACAGAGATGTGAGTGCTATGAGAGCAATTTCAAGAGTTAAGGAAAAAGGGATTTATTCATCCAAGTATTTCACCTTGGGGAGCTCCGATATTATTTGTAAAGAAAAAGGATGGAAGTTTGAGGTTATGTGTGGATTATCGAAAGTTGAATAGTGTGACAATTAAGAATAAATACCCACTTCCCAAGATCGATGATTTATTTGATCAATTGCAAAAAGCGCAAAGTTTTTCGAAAATTGATTTACGCTCTGGGTATCATTAGTTAAGAATTTGGGAAGAGGATATACCAAAAATAGCATTCTGTACGAGGTACGGGCATTATGAATTTTGGTGATGTCTTTCGGTTTAACTAATGCTCCTGTCGCTTTTATGGATCTAATGAATAGAGTGTTTCGAGTTTATTTGGATAGATTTGTGGTGGTGTTTATTGATGATATCCTGGTGTATTATCGGAGTCCTGAAGAACATGCACAACATTTGTGAATGGTGTTGCAAACACTTTGAGAGCTTGAATTATATGCAAAGTACTCTAAGTTCACTTTTTGGTTAGAGAGTGTTAGTTTTCTTGGACATGTGATATCGAAGGAAAGGATTAGTGTGGATCTGCAAAAGGTTGCATCGATTCAAACTTGGGTAAGACCGAGTACGGTTACTGAGGTTCAAAGTTTTCTCGGCTTGCCTGGGTATTATCATCAATTTGTGCAACATTTCTCAAAAATCACAATGCCATTGACGAAGTTGACGTGAAAAGGAGCTAAGTTTGAATGGATTTGATGAATGTGAAGATAATTTCTTAAGACTAAAAGAATGTTTAATTTCTACATCAGTCTTAAGTTTACCAAGTGGCCCGAGAGGATATGTTGTGTATTGTGATGCATCAAGAGTTGGATTGGGATGTGTGTTGATGCAAAATGGTAGAGTTATCTGGTACACCTCAAGGCAGCTCAAAAGACATGAGTTTTTGCATGGATAATATTTGCATTTAAGATTTAGCGTCATTACCTATATGGTGAGAGCTTTGAAATATATATGGATCACAAGAGTTTAAAGAATATATTTCAACAAAAGGATCTTAATTTAAGGCAACACCGATGATGGAATTGCTCAAAGACTATGATTGTACCATCCAATATCACCCTGGTAAGGCAAACATGGTAGCTGATGCCTTAAGTCGAAAATCTATGGGAAGTTTGGCACATTTGACAACTGAATGATGAAGTATAATGCATGGATGGCAAAGCTTAGGCATTACGGGGGTTAAGATTGACGTTGGTGGGCTTAGTGACCTTGTTGCTCATTTTCGAGTGCGACCAATGATCTTGGACCGAATTCACAGTCCTCAAGATCACGATGAATACATAATGAAAGTCTTAGGGTTCGAAGAGCGATATCAGAATTTTGTATATGGAAATGATGGATTGTTGAAGTATGAATTTCGAACGTATTTGCCAGATCGAGATAACTTGAGAGAAGAAATTCTAGAGGAATCTCACATTACTGCCTACATGGTACATCCAGGAGCCACCAAGATGTATCGCGATTTGAAAATAGTTTATTGGTGGCCAGGTATGAAGAAGAATGTAGCTAAGTGCCTAACTTGTCAACAAGTTAAGGTTGAACATGGGAAACCCCTAGGTTTGCTACAACCTTTGCCTATTCCTGAATGGAAATGGGAACATGTAGCTATGGATTACGTAACTGGATTGCCTCGTGTTAGAGGGGGTTATGATTCGATTTGGGTAATAGTATATCAATTGACTAAATCTGCTAACTTCATCCCAGTGAAGACTAGCTATGGGTCAGCTAAATATGCCAAGGTTTACATTGATTGTATTGTAAGATTGCATGGAGTTCCCGTGACTATAGTTTCTGATCGAGGGTTGTAGTTTACTAATAAGTTTTAAAGAAGTTTACATGAAGCTTTAGGCACTCATTTAGATTTTAGTATTGCACACCATCCTCAAACGGATGGTCAGTCTGAGTGGGTTATACAAACACTTGAAGATATGTTGAGATCAATAGTGTTGGAAATGGGAACCACATGGAATCAATAATTATCTTTGGCAGAATTCGCTTATAACAATAGCTAAAAAGCTAGTATTGGAATGGCTCCTTTTGAAGCATTATATGGACGGAAGTGCAGATCACCTATCGGATGGTTTGAAGTAGGAGAAAGGAATTTGTTAGGTATCGATTTGGTGCAATAAGCAACTGATGTGGTGAGTTTGGTAAGGGAACGTCTAAGAGCGGCGTAGAGTAGACAAAAGTCTTATGCAGATAATAAGCATTGTCTTTTGGAGTTCCAAGTGGGAGATTTTCTATTCCTAAAGGTATCCCCGCTGAAATGAAGTAAAAGATTCAGGAAGAAAGGGAAGTTGAGCCCGAGATACATTAGACCTTTTGAAATCTTAGAACGAATTGGGTTAATAGCTTATCGACTAGCTTTGCCGATGGAATTAGCTTGTGTGAATCCTACTTTTCATGTGCCTATGTTAAGGAAGTATGTTAAGGATTCGACATATGTTATACATTATGATTTGGTTTCGATGGATGAAAGACTGAATTTTGAAGAGCAGCCAGTAGCAACACTGGATCGGCAAGTGAAACAATTACGTTCTAAGGAAGTTGTCTTAGTAAAAGTCTTGTGGCAAAACCGATTGGTGGAAGAGGCAACATAGGAACCCAAAGAGGAAATAAGGAAGGAATATCTCCATCTTTTCCAAGATTAAGGTATGTTATGCTAACCTGCTCCATTAAAATTCGAGGACGAATTGGTTTTAAGTGGGGGAGACTGTAAAATCTTGTATTTACGAATAGAAGTCAGTAAGACCTAATCGATAAGACGAAGGGTCAATTGACGAAAATTTAAGTGCCAACGAGCAGTAGTGGGCGAAAAGAATATTTTAAAATAAAATAATATTAAAATATTAATATTTTAATTATTGTTGAGATTA